CAGCTGAGGCAGAGGGCAGCATCGTTGGCAGCTTGGAGTTCTGCACGGGCAATTTGGGCAGCCGCTTGGTGCTGGTCCTCGGCCACACAAAGTGCGGTGCTGTCTATGGGGCCACAAAGACGTTTCTGGATGCCCAGGGTCCCCCCAAGAAAGCTGGCTCTGCGCTGCAAGGGCTTCTGCAGGACCAGGCCCAGGAGGAAATGGGTCCTGGCGCGGACTCCGATGCCATCGCGGCCCACGCGGTCAAGGTGAACGTCTTCCACACCGTGAACTTTCTGCTTACCCTTGAGGGACATGCGCCAGGCCTTGGTGAAGTGCGGCCAGGCGCCCCACAGCGCCATCCTTGGCTGTGCGGACTTGCGAGTGCCCGGCGACACCGTCTTCGACGCGATGCCCGGAGACCTCTTCACACCTGCACTCACGCTGCTCGGTGATCCAGGTAACTGACTAGACTGGGCTTGATGTAAGTTTGGAAGTATGCACAGTGGATGCACCCACGAGTTATAGCGAACTTCCATGAATTTCTGAGGCAGAAGGGAGCATCGTTGGCAGCCTGGAGTTCTGCACCGGCAAGTTGGGTGCCCAGCTGGTCCTCTGGGGCACACGCAGTGCGGCGCCGTGGCCAGAGCTACGAAGACTTATCAGGCCGGTGAGTTACTCTCTTGCAGGGCTTGGCCGGGGTGGCGCAGCACAGCGAGGATCTGGGCCCAGGGGCCGAGGAGGCCAAGCTCATCGCTCATGCTGTGAAGGTGAATGTCTTCCATTCCATGAACTTCCTCCTGAAGTTCTCTGAGCCCCTGCGCGACCTGGTGCGCAAAGGGAACCTGCACATCCAGGGCGGCATCTATCACCTGAAAAACGGGCCGCGTGGAGTTCTTGGGCCGCTCACCTCAGCAAGCTGAGCTGCTGTCCTCCAAGCGCTCCGTGCCGCCGTCCATCCAGTGTTGAAGGATGGCAATGAGCGCTTCACAGTGGGTGCCCCCACAGCTGGCAAGGTCCACCAGAGCATGCGTGCGGATTTGAACAACATGGGCCAAGCTCCCCACACTGCTCTGGTTGGCTGCGCTGATTCGCGCGTGCTGCGCAACGCTGGCAACACCTGCACACATGCCGAGGGCAGCGTGCTTGGCAGCCTGGAGTTCTGCACCGGTGCGCTGAACACCCGGCTGATCTTCATGCTGGGGCACACGGCCTGCGGTGCCATCAAGGGCGCCACCAAAGCCTTCCTCGAGTCCAAGAAGTCCGGTGAGGCCAAGAAGGACGGTTGCAATAGCCGCACTGCGCACGGCAAAGCTCTTGAGAATGTGAAAGCTTGCTGTTGTGTCGGGGTTTCATCCTTGTGGTCCT